ATTCAGCGTAAGCTCAAGTCAAGCCAAGAGGAAACACAATCTAGTGTAGCCGTTCTTAATTCCTCCAAATGAAACAAGAACTACCATTTATAAATTTAAACAGAAATATCAAAACATGTAAGCTGTGAGATGACCCGGGCATTTCGTGCCTATCTCCTCAGTCACGTGGAAGGCAACTAAGAAGTTGTAAACAAGCAAGGTCGGATATGGTCGGTTGGTGGTCAGCTGAAGGCCAACTATTACTGCGGCACTACCAAGGAAAGCTCAGTCTTACTGTCAACTGTTTCTGAACGCACAGAGGCGGCCTCTCGCGATCGATCAAGATGGCTTCAAGTAGCTTCACTATATGCTGCCTTTGGTTGCGCATGAGGAGGGTGAATGAGACACTTAAGTTCAATGAATGAACAATGAATGTATAAGAGTCAATAAGTGTTGCTTTACAAATCCCGTTTGATAGTTGGTGGGGATATCGAAATAATAATAATAATAATAATAATAATAATAATAATAGCAAAATAGTTAGTACATTAAATAGGAAAATAAGGACTTATGCTTTGTTCCGCTGTAGTTCTGCAATTCGCTTAGATTCACAACACTCAGTTAACATCAAATAAATCCATGGTAAACTCCAAAGTCGAATGGAGACGTAGCGCTAAGTGACAAAGTGTAAGTGAATGAGTGCGTCATCCAACCGCCTTTTAAATACTGTTAGTGTCCGTGCAAAGACGACCGATTTCCGGAGAGCATTCTACGGGTGACAGACACGAATGGAAAAAAGAATTTCTGCGGCACTCCAGACGACTATACATTTCTGCGAGTTTCAATGAGTGGCCCCTTAGGATTGTATTGGTGCTGAGACGCAGTAATCGGCGGCACACATAATGTAGGTCTTGCAGAATCAAGTATGAATTAATCTGGTCGCCTGGTAGTCTGCGATAACTTCCACTGAATATGCCCAGTCGTTGCGGACTCTCCAGGTATGACAGATTTCGCATTCCAATTACGTTCTTAGATGATTGTAGTTGTGGCTGCTCAAGTGCACTAAGATCGTATTTTAGCCATAGATGCCAGGCTTGAATAGCGTATTCGACATGAGGGAGAACATACACATCGAGCATTTGGAGCTTTTCATTTTTCCAAACGCCCGTCGCAACAGCCCGACGTGTTGGTTTCCAGTCTTCAATGCCTTTCCGGATTACCTGGAGCAACCCGTCATCTAGAAGCAGGACACCCAAGTCACTTTCCACAGCTCATTGTTGCAATATATTTGTTCAGAGCCGGTATGAGTAGCTGCTCTGATATCGGACAAAAAATACCTTGCATTTACTGACGTTGAAATGCAGTACATTTTGGCTTGATCATTGATATACCGCATCTAGGTCACACTGTAGCAGATGCTGGTAGGCGTTCCCCTAAATTCTGTGCCAAATCTTGATATCGTCGGCAAACAGTAGGAAGTTTGAAGTGATTCCTTTTGCAAGGTCATTAATAAACACCAAAAACTAACGTGGATGTAGAACTGATTCTTGCACCACACCACACTTGACTTGCATGAGGTCCGATAAAGTACTCCGAACTCTGACCACTAATTGCCGTTGAAGTAAAAGTTAGCAATCCAACTTAAAACATGGTCAACGATCCCGTAGTGCTGGAGTTTGGAGCGTAGTATCCGAATAGTCTAGACGATCGAAAGCCTTCGAAAAATCTAGGTAGATTCCATCAACACCTTCTCCAGCGTCAGCTGACTCGGTTCTAACACTACGTGCGATTAGTAAATTCGTTGTGCATGACCGCTGTCGAAGGAAGCAGTGTTGCTCAGGCGTGGCGATGTTACAGTTTTCCAGATAACACACCAGTGCATCGGCAACTATGGATTTCATGACCTTGGAGAGTATAGGAAGAAGGGATACTGGGCGGTAGTTGAAGGGCTCAGTTCTGCTTCTACCTTTGTGAATCAAGGCTACTATTCCAAAATTCTACATAAGGGGAACTTGGTTTTGATCTAAGCAGCTATGGAAAAACTGCACTAAATGTCCTACCAGTTGGCTCGCTGCTGCTTCCAGTGCCTCTGGACGAATGGTATTGATACATGGCGAGCTGTGTTTGTGTAGAGATGTCAGCTTTGGAATACAGTCTCCGTGGTAAAAGTGATGTGGGTTAGTCTTGGCGAGGAGACAACGAAGGTTGGAAGGTTGCTTGGTGGCACTACCCTCTGAAACGTGGGGCATTTCTCATCCGCAGGTTGATTGCTGCTCCCACAGCCGTTCTTGTGGGGCTATCGATCGTCCTGAGTGGAGGAAATACTTGCTTCAAATTTCGTAGGTTACTGACGTGCTTGTACAACAGTTTGTGTTTAGTATTAACGGATTATGCGATGTACCAGTGATATGCGGCTTTGACATCTCTTACTAGTTGGGTGCAGTGGTTACCTTGGGCTACGTATTTGTCCGAATTTCTGGTGCTAAAGTTTCACTGTGCACGCGCCATGTTGCATTGCGTACTGTCATAATTTTCGAGTTCTGCTCCCAACGAAAGAAACCGATGTACACTTATTGCCAACTATTATGTATCTGAAGCCTCCGCAATCCGCTGACTAAGGTTGTTCAGGAACTCGAGACAGTCGACCCCGGGGTTCTTCTGCAAGGAACGACCAACATGTAACGCTGACGAGCTGAGCTAATCGATCGTAGCTTGTGCTGGTTCGCACGATCTCATCGTACTCGTTCCGATATTCCGCATAGCAGACGAAGTTAGAACTGATCACTGCGTGGTCACTGCGACACAACGGACAGTCGAAAACTAACACATCAATCATATGCTCCATGTTGGTCAGCCCAAGATCCAGCGCAGATGGCCTGTTACCTGTTTTGAACCGAGTAGGCAAAGGGATGTGATTGTGAAGAGGAACAGTGGTTACGAGATCTTGTAGATCGGCTTTGAATTGTTCCCCGATTGTGGCAGCAGTTTCTAAACAATGTACGTTAAAATCCTCCATGATAAGTATGTGAGTGTACTTTCGCTGTAAACTGCATCTTAAAGCAGCCGCTGGGTTTCGGGCGTAGAGTTAGTAGGGCGGTACGCCAAGACAATAAGACAAGCATCTCTGCCTTTCAACTGCAAGCGGCACCAAAGGGAGTCGAGGAATGGGAGACTGAATTCTCCACGGCTTCGCAATGTAAATCGCTTTGGTAATACAGGATTACCCACCTTCATTTGCGAGCCTAACTTTCCGGATAAGCGACATGCGCGGTAGCGAAATTTCAGCGTACTTCAATCCCGCGTACAACTACGACTCGGTTCTACCAATCACATCATATGACGCGGAAACTTCGCAATCTTTCAATTAGGCCAGTTTATTAAAAAGACCCTGAGCATTCGTACAGAAGCAGGCCAGTTTCTCGGTCTCTAGGAGCCCACAGACGGCTGAAGGGGTCAAGTGTTGGAGAATATCGACCGATGTTGGGTCAGCACTCACTCCTTACTTGATGGGATAATGACACCGCGTCTGGAAGTTGATTCTGCCAAGGTGCGTCACAATCTTTCTTTAGACCTACGTCAGAGTCAAGGAAAGCAACAGTCAAGTTAAGTTTCTGTATTATCGCCGGTACGCTTGCTGCATCAGGTGTTTTGATCATTGAACTGTGCACTGCTTCTACGATCTTTAACCGAAGTTCAGAAGGAAGACTTTTCCGATTTCTCCGCCATCAATCCAAAACATTCGTTGTTTGTTGCTCTGACTTAACCACACGTTTTAGGATTCTATGACCGCATCCTCTAATATTTGGTGTGAGAGGTATCCTGGAGAGCAACAGCCCCACAATATTATCCAAAGAAAGTATTTCACGAATGAACCACCACTGTTCTAAATCGTGCTTTCCGGTCTCTTGAACATCATTAGAAGGACGTTCTGGCACGCCATGTATGAAGATTGTGTTTAAGCGGTCTTGCTTGCTATGTCCCTCTTCGGTGTGTTTTATTGTCGCGCTCCATGCGACATCAGGATATATGTGTATTCCACAGGATCGGCATCTTAGCGCGCATGCGGCGAGCAACACCTTTTCTACGTCGGTGGAGGATCCTAGTGTTACTCGGATAAGTCTGGGTTCTCCATAGTGTGGCGAGTTCGGATGACGAGCAATTCGAATTAGGTTCATGGGCTTGGCTTTGACACTTATCAGCACGCACAATGAGTTCCATTGGTCTTGGTAGTCCGACAACTTAACCCGCAGTGCGATAGTGGTAGATTCAGGGACATTTGAGCTTACAAAAGACAAAGGACTATGATTGCATCCCTTTTCATTGATTTACAAGGTAGGGTAACAGTTTGTCCTAACCTGCTGACAAGTGTTGATTGCTTACTGTTTCTACTTCTATTCGTGTTATCGGTATGCAGAACAGAATAGGCCGCAACGGAGGCCTCCCGGCGGACCTTTGCAGGAATCTCTGCATATGCAACTGATGTTACGGCGGGCATTGTCTCGACAACAGACATTTGAGCTACAGGTACCGCGGGTTTGTGTTTGGCTCCTTCATCCTTATTAATGCTAGATGTCAGTCTAGTGGAATTTGCCTAACCAGACGTTTCGAGTGGTGCCAGATTTTCATTGCCATGAGTATTGTTTGATTCTCGCAGGTACGGTCCGTTTTCGCTGGTGTTCTACCAAGCTTGGAAAAGACAACGGAGATGGAGACGTGGCTGATTGCAGTTCAGGGGAGGCGCTTTTTGTAGCATACCATTACTTAGAGGTCGCTAGGCTTCCGTAGTGCATATTCGCTTTCATTGAAGTAATCTTATCGTTTATCCTCTGTTCGACTTCTGCGGTTACTCGTTCACACATCTGAACTAGCATAAGCAAGCACTTAACGAGTGGCATGGTCGCGCATGCAGTACAGTACCGTAGCGCAGCTTGTGAGCCGTTTCCCTCTCATACATTTTGTTAGGACACGTTTGCACCTTTCGGATGATACCATTCCAAACAGTGCGAACAAGCCAAACCTACTTTAACTAATCGAGGACATCCTCCTAACATACAAATGCCGTTCGCTTGGAGCCTTTTCGGATTCGCATTTCTGCCATGCAACGTGGTTTCGTTACCCGACCCAGTGGTTTGGTTGGCATTCTGTACTTTTCCAGCTTTGGTAGCGGCGCACATCGGTCAGCCGAACGTGGTGGTTGCAAGGTCAAATGAGCGTTCCGCGTAGTCGCGCGGTCTGTGTGATGGGTTATGCAGGCGCACTGGCTGACAAGGTCACAAGGAATGGCGAGTGACTGGAACCCGCTAACTGAATCTGAACACAGCGCTGAACAAAACTTGAGGAATTACAAACGCTTTCACAGCTGCGTTGAGAAACGCCAAATTGGAATAAGCTTAGGCTTTTCGGACTGCCTAGCGAATTCTGTATCGAATGACGTCACACAGAAAGGCAATCGGCTCAATGTGATTGAGTTATCCGCTTGCCTTTAATCACGAGAACCAGTGAAAATGGTCAGTGATGGCACGGAGTTGAATCTTAAAAGCTAATTCCATGTATGATGGATCATTGTGTAGGGCTGGTAAATCCGGTTCAAATGAGTGTATATTGACAAGCTGCGAGAAGATGGAGAGAGGATAGAGCGGAATAATCCAGAGTTCAGTAGATGCCTCGTGATTACCGAAGCTATGCTGCCTCTGGATTCACCCGGTTCCACCGTATGTGATCACATTCCCTTGCACAACCAATTAGGGATGTGTTCATCGATCCTGACACCTAGACCTCGGTCAGTGTGCCCAATGTATCTCTCTCCACAGTTTTAGTGGAACTTCTTTCCGTGCCTACCTGGAGGTTCTGCAACATTTCACTTTTGTAGTATTAGGGACCGGTAGTATTCTACATATAAGAGGAAAAGGAAAGCTTCTAGTAGGATTACGCCTTGTACTTTGGCAGCGCACTTGAGAGATCGGACTTGCGAGAGAATGAAGCAGCTCATAATCGAGAGAAATGTAGGTTGATTTTATGATGAACAGCTTTGTTCGTGATAGATGAAACTGAGAAAATTGTCTGTGGGAATAACGTGCTTGTGAGATAAGCGCAACCATTTGCAGCATCGGTTAAAGCCCAAGAGCCAAATTCACCAACCTAGCGCAGCACCATTAGCAGTTAACTGCCGATGTTGAGAACGGTGGCCTCATCAGAAATCCCTCAGGCTACGATGTCACACAGGTGCATCCACAAACAATTGCCACTAGGTTGTCGATTAATTCGTGTACCTACTACGGCTTTGATGAATTGGTAGTTGCTGTACCACTCAGGGTCACAGTTGCCACCTGCTGCTGATTCACCAATGGGCCGCCCCGGTAGAATCACATGTTTTGCTGAGGTTTGTCACCTATGTCACGACTATGGGGAAACGGGTGTGTCAGTCACTGTTTACGAAGAGATTGACTGTGCAGGATGATGGACCATATAATGTTTCCTTTGTCTGCTTATATGTGGTCCAGTAGCCAGTGGATGGTCGGAAAACTACGAATCCATGGAGGTGCTGTTTACGCAACCAGTTTGTGAATTTGGTCCACAAAATAGTCAGTTTATACCAACAAAAAAGCGAAAAGGGAAACGTACCGCTAATCATGGGGAGGTATGTGCAGTGGGGGGAGGACAAAATATTGCCACTGCACACTTCAGTATGCTATCCTAAAAGTGTGTCAGTGCACCTCAGTGCCTGCAGAACAAGAGGGCAGTGGGAATACGCATGAACAATAGCCGGCGGTGGAAGAGAACTGGCCGAGTTAAATTGGGATTTATGTCTCTATTTGCCATATAATGTCCCAACATGTTGATCTAGTAAAGACCTACTGTGACTGTGACCATTGCTGGCAGTGTCGTTTGTAACCACTGCAACTATTATGTTGAATACAGACGCGTTTCTCGACGCGGTCTGAGTGCACAGCTATCTTCGTCTTCTAAATCATGACTAGATTTATCTTTCCTAAGTCGTTCTATTCAGTGGATAGAGTGCATTAACGTAAGAGTTTCGCATTGGTTGAACTATGGATGTCAGTAGGTGTCTTTTTATTGCCTTGGAAGTCCATTCACTAACCGAATACGTACGACACGCTTGTCGTCCACACCGACATATCACCACGTTTTGTGAAGACGGATGAAATGTATCATGCTTGGTAAGGCAAGCTAAGTGAAGGTTATCGGTCACAATCGGTTCCCTGTCGAGGGTGGATTCGTATCTACTGTTTAGCGGCCTCTGAGTTTAGCTCATAGATAACCAACAAATGATGCATAATCAGCTCACGAACCGAAAAACAATTGTGATAACCAGAGTAGTAAGAAGTAATACAATATTAACATGAATCATGCAAAACTCGCGATTGAACTGGGTGTCTTATCATTTCCCTTCCACCTGTTAAACACTGCTCTTTGTTGAAATAGGTGTAATCAGTTAGATTACCACTCAAGTATATGTAAATAGCCTTATTCGATGAGCACAGAATGTCAGACCCAGAGGACTGCCTTATTCTCTCTGGTCACTGATCACCGGGCAGTTAGTTCCAACAAGTAGTTTGAATTGCAGCCTGCAGAGGTGAGGTAAACTTCTCTTGGTTAGGAGTTGCTGCTTGTAGTTCGGTGGACATGCTTTTAAGCTAGTTGTAATCGGACGCCGTAGCAGCTTGCTGATGGACCACACAACAAGCCGTACATACGTTCCTACCTTATTTGTCAGAATGAAAGGTTGAACACTTTTCTTGCTACCTGGATGCAAAATAGTATTGCCAACAAACAAACGGTAACCCGAAGCAGGGCTAATCACCTGGCATTTGGACAAACATTTTACTGCCGTCCTCACACCTCCTGATGGGTGGGCGCAGCGTGTGGTCGAGTCAGCTTTTCAATTGCACTGGTTACATATGACCATCACTATAACTACCACGGAAGGCGTAACATGGGTTTGCTAATGTCGTGGAAGGGTGCAAGTAGTCGACATAGCAGATAGAGGGTGACACCATCTGCTTGTGAAAGCCATTGCGAACCGGACGCATGTTTTCATCTGATTCTGCTCCTGAAATGATGCGGTAATGATGTTCCACTTTCACTTGCAAATTATTCACTTTGATTAAATAACAAATGTCGGAGAGATTTGGTCAACTACAAGCTCGTTCATACTGACATCCAAATCAATGAGAGATAACTGCTTGAGTAATTCGGAAAGCAGAAGCAACTACTGTGATCTACCATTTGAGAAAAATTGTGCTTTGTTTCATTGAGCTGAAGCGGCAGTTTTGATGCTAAATAAGTCGAAAAATCGCTAATCCACAAACTCAAGATAAACTTTAGTTACATGTCAATTGTATATTGTTAGACGGAAATACTTTTATCCCATCCAACAGGATATATTTGCTACAAACACACCTTTTCCGAATATGGCTTCACGTTGGATAACGGTGCGAACATTGCACAAATGCTGATAGAAGGTGAAGAAAAACTGTGCTCACCGCTACTTAATCAAATTGAATGCGCAGAAATGTAGTGACAGGGTGGTAGGAATTTTGGGGGAAAAATGCCACGTCGAACACAGAATCAATGATAAGCTCCACACCGAGGGTATTAAGCGCCGAAAGGATGTAGTGAGCTAAGGTACACATTAGACAAATGATTTGGTCAATCCGTCTGATCATTGGTAGGTTTATTTAGCTTAACAGGATGACGAATTTACAATGGAAAGCCAAAGTTTCAAGCTTGCCGCTAACCAGGGGACAGGGCAGACTATTAACTATCAACGGTGGTTTGAAGAAATCAAAGATCCAAGTTTTTGAATTATACTTAGGTGTCCATAACGTTCGTTACTCCATAACGGGTGCCCGAAAGTCTGGGTTTATTTCATCCTTATCAGCTGAGAGTGAGAAACACGCCTCAGCTAATGTGGCGCAATACAAAATGGATAGGATGCTAAAAATTGCAGACTACGAAAACATTAGAAATTAAGTGATGAAATATTAAATGTCATATTATGCATTTATTGTGAGATCCTAAATGTAGGCGAATCTAAAGGAGAGGCGGATGGACAAAGAAACTGGGGCCGGCACTCCGTCGTATCAACAAGTATATCCAACCAAAAGTGGCCACCGTCATTGGGACCCCACCTAGGCAGTCGGGATGCACCAAACGACGCCAACTTCAAAGTAAGGGTTTTCATTCCTCTCTACCAAGTCATCGCTGAGCCCTCCTCTTTCTCTCTGTAAACAAGCGACTTTTGATGCAAGATAGGAGAGGGCCGAGAATTGGGGTACGGAAAACAGGCGACAAAAGTGAAGTTGGAGCAATAGCAATAGCATGCAAACCCCTATCCACCCTGCTCGATGCAGCAGATAGGGTGCCGTCGATTAGCCTCTACGACGGCCAGAGCATCAAGCGATAGTTTGAAGGGAAAACCATCGCGTTGTATTGGGTGGGCAGGATATTAGCAGGTTGCCCAAGGGTATACAGGAGAACCGTTAGGGTTCTCAACTAAAGCCTTTGGTTCAAAAACCTGAACACAAGGCAGCAGGATTTTGGCACTTGGTTACACGTACCACCCAGCGTAGCTCAATGGATTATTGAGGCACACAAATCATCGCACCAAGTTAGGATCCAGCCTTACCGCGATGAGTTTACTTACCGTAACGGCGGTGGAAAAGGGAGTTTTACGTTGATTACGAAAGGTCACATACTGATCCACGGATTAGGTACGACAACGAGGGATTCCTGAAGTGCAGCTTTGAATCTTGTTGTGCTGCCTTACACACTCCACTAAAGTTCGTAGCTTGACCAACAGGTTGGTTGGAAGATTGCAGAAAACTACTGATGATTTGTCGTCTATCCAATTATGTTTTTCACCAATTTCCGTGAAAAAGTTACAAGTCATCGTTTTAGTTCTGAATGATCTGGTCTACGTTCCTAGTTCTCAGTGCTGTCGTGTACAGAGATGCTTGTCTTCTTTCCACCTACTTAAATGAAACTGACATTTTGCAAAAGTTCAACTCCAGGATTAAACAGTGCAAAT